CTCAATGTAAACTTGGGCCTGCATTTGTAAAATTTCAAAGTTATGACACTGGTTGTTGGTCGTTAGCTGGTATATAAACGTTAAGTGATCGCTGCATGACGACCAGCTGACAACGAGCAAGCTGCAAAAAACCGTTCATGTTCATGTTTCTCATGTTCTTTTTAGCTGGTGCACACATGGCGTATGAGTAATATTTTTGGGTTAATGTTTTGTAAAAGGCAGCAGGAGCTGCAGAAACATGAAATCATATCAGTTGCAATTACACTCAACAAATCACAAGCTTTTGCTGCTGCTCGGCAACAAATTGGCGTCTAACTTGACTCAGGTCAAGACAGGTGTGGTTGAACCGTTAATGACTTCTGCTGCTGCCGGCCAACAGAAGCAGAAACTAAACAGAAACTCCGCCATTTTAATGAGACATCGACAAAGAGCACAAACAAGCGATCAGTTGCCATGATCAATGAACTGTTATGCTTGTTTGTTTTTAGACCTGGTCAAGTGAATGCCATTTGCTCCCAGAGACGAAAAGTGAATGTAATCAGCACAGTGAAAGGATTCGCTCAAGGTGCGCCTCAAAAAGATCAGCTACAGGCATACAGCAGCATCCGAATAGCAAACAAATTAATAATTATGAACTTATGCAACTCGGATAATTTACCTATCAATGCACTGCAAATAGAGCGAATGATTGCTCAAGACCTGACGAGTTGATGGAGTAGCAACAGCTCTCTGTGCACTCATTGTTGGAAATATGAGCGCCACCACCCGCATGTCACGCAATTGAGTGTAAAATTACCTTTTCATTCATAAAATACCAAAGCGCAGCAAAGAAAAGCGTGCACATTTTCACTTATGCATTTTCCCTTTGCCATGAGGCAACCTGACTGTTACGTGCTGAGCAGCCAAGTCGCTGTAACACTAGCTGCCGCAAAAACTCGGTTACTTGGTCAGCGGCAGGCAACCACCAACAACACCGACATCATCACACTTAACCACAGGCATCTCACTCGTCACGCAGCTGTCCATAATGCAAGCATTGCAAAAGTTGCATCATTATCAACATAACTGTTATGCCTTGAATATATATTTTATATATTATTATAAATGCCAAGAGCCAAAGTAATTTCTCCACCAATCAAAAAATTATATCAAATTTGCGCTTCATTTAAGAAACATTTCTTTTGGCAGTTCGAGCAAAAGACAGCGGGATATTTGATCAGAATATAAAAGACATGTATGTATGCATGTAGGTATGTATGTGTGTATGATTGTATGTATGCAAGTATGTATTTATGTAGGTATGTATGTATTTATGTATGTACATATGCTTTCAGGCATACCTATATGTTTGCATTTATGATGTATGTATGTACATACCTATATTATACATATATGAGATGGTATTCATTTTTAATTATTTTAATAGTAATATCTTAGAAGTTAATGATTATGAATTTAACCAACTATTTAGTTTGTTATTTTAATGTTAGTATAATCAAAAGATAAACTAGTAAACAAAACTGATTACAGGAACTGATTAATTACAGGATTAGTAAGGTTTATCATATATATTCCTATATTTATATGTATATGTATTTCTACAAAATCTATTGAGATACTATAGGGATTATACTGATACTTGAA